TGTGCAAAGACCTTTTGGTTTTGAAATATTTAGTAGCTATGTGATAGTTAAGAAAAGGTATTTATTAACTAATTGCAGTTAATTATTGTATGGTGGTTCAGTGTGCCCCCTAACTTTTTACTAGGTCGTCATCTAGTGGGCGCCAACCACTAGGTGACGACTTAGTAAAAATAGTTTAGGTAGTCGACGGATGCAGGTGGCTGAGAACTGCGGTTTGCGGCAGTCATTGGAAGAAGCCTTTGTTTCAGCAGAGGACTTGCAGACTTTAATGTAATAAAGTGTAACAATTATAGTAAAGATATTAATTTGCAACCATCCGCTTAATTAACTATAATGATGTGTCTTACCTGAAAAAAAAAAAAAAAAAAAAAAAAAAAAAAAACCGATTGAAAAGCACGTCCCGCCCTCCCTCATTTGCGTGCACTACTCCCGTTCCTTCCAACACCACTACTCCCGGCACCACTACTCCCAATACCACTATTCCAGGAAAGGCATACCATCGGCGATAATACGCCTCTACACGAGGCGAAATACGTGTCGGAATAGTGCACGCAATTGAGGGAGGGCGGGAAGTGCTCTTCAATCCAGGTAAGACACATCATTGTAGTTAATTAAGCGGATGGTTGCAAATTAATATCTTTATTATAATTGTTATGATGGATTTCCGCAAAGTAACGCCTCATTCTATCAATTATCGTAATAAAGTGTTTCAAGTGTCCAAAAATATAAGAACTTATTATTGATGATGTGACATGTAATGCTAAAAGCTATGGCTTATAAAGCTATGCAACAAAGAATGTTAAGGTTAATGGGGTTTACAGATATTCGAGATTAGCTACAGAACTAACACTGCACAGACTAAAAATAAATTCACAGGTGAGTTGTGAATCATAGGAACATAGGATATTAATGGAGCAGACGAAATGCTACGCCGCGCCCGCTAATGCACGCTTATTGAATCTTTCGCACTATTTACGAAAGCTCACTTCATCTCGATTACCCGACGACTCATTTTCTAAGCCCTATCGATCATGTTGTGGCGATGTAAGAATATCCATACCCTAATGATTTCTTATATTTACGCGAACACTACACATTGATTAAAAGTTTATCAGTGGTATCAATCGACGATCGATCGATTCGTGTGGTAACGTCCTTATCCATCAAGTACCTGACCGAAAATAAAAGTGAAACAATTGCACTATTTTATTTATACTTATGTAATTTTTAATTTGTTTATATTATATTTTATTGTGTGAATAACTTACCTGATAATTGCAAAATCGTTATTATTTAGAAATAAAATCATTGTTATTTAGAAATAAAATTATTTAGGGAAAAGCTTGGTCGATATACTAAACCCCAGAACAGATCTTGTAACCAAGAATGCAGATTAAAATTCATAAGACTAATGCGATAGCCCATTGAAAAGGTTACAATCTTCAACATTGAGGAAACGACTGAGATGGAATTCGACTGTGAAGACAGACCTTTTATCATAGCTTATCCCATCTTTTCGCAGAATTGTAACTGTAGTATATCTTTTGACGTTTTCATGTAAAAGTTCTAAAAGGCATTATGAATATTACCCCGGTCGTTACTAAGTGAAGTATTAATAATACAAAAAGCGTCCTCCCCAACTTTTTCTCTATGTAGCCTTTTTACGAGAACATTCGTTGCTGTATCTTAGATTAATGTTTTAAAAATTTGTTTTTAAATCAGATTACTTTCTTTTTCATAGTATTAGAGTGACAAACGAGCACATAGTCCACCTGATGGTAAGTGGATTCTGTGGCCCAAAGACATCTTCATCTATCCTCGATTAAAAGTCATAGTTTATATGCGTTGCCATTCCTGAGGACTATGATACCATGCGTCGTTACCAGTAAAATGGAGTCTCCAGTTATCGACACTCTTCAGACGAAACAAAACATCGTTAAGTTGATATTTTACGGTATCCTGTGAGAGTGTGGTCTTCCCCGGTCGAGCTAACCCATTCGTGTTGCAACCATAATGTAGCTGCAGCGTAGCATTAAATACTATTCCATCTTTACGTGAGAACTAACTCTCTGGTGAGATGGCGTGCGATTTGATTCGACCCCTTCCTCCACTAAACGGGCTACAGTAGTATCTATATAACTAGTTGTCAACTCTTAAGAACTAAGATATAATGCCTAAGACTGTAATTATAATAGCTCTGGTATACAAAGCTATTACACCTTCAGACCGAAACACAGCAATACAAGCACTGTTACTTAACGGCAGAAAACTACACTACATAAAGCGCACTAAGGCTTACATTATATAAAGTGCAAGGTCTGGCGCTGCAAAATTACACCTAGCTTTCATGGGGAAATGCTTACGTATACCTGTCTTACAGGGGCTAGGACGGTTTATGTAGGACTCGCACAGATTAAAACCCCGTGGCGTTCCTCCTTAGCACGGTCGCGGTAACGCTTTCGCACAAATCCCCGGTCTTACCAGCGCCGTCCGCTCCGTGGTAGCCCCTTTTCGGGAGAGAACTACACTTCTCACTTCTTCATTTGAGGTAATTCGCATCAGACCCCAGAGATAAGGTACGCCTTCCACCGCGGCCTCCAACTTCACCTGCGCAATGGACCCCCCTTGTCCGATCCGCGAAGGCCACGTGACCAGGGGACACTAATATGGTTACAATTAATATCGCCAGTCTCTAGCATAACATATAAACATAAACACTCACGCCTGTCACCCAGAGGGGTAGGCAGAGACTACAGACTTCCATTTGGCACGATCCTGACACACCTCTCGCCTCCTTCACATCCATACACCTCCGCATACATGCTCGTCGGTTAAGGGTACTCCTAATTTGGCCCGTTTTCAATAAATCGCCAATTTGGTCGATAAATTTTCGCCTAGGACGTCCCTTTCCGACTCTGCCATTCACTTCTGCAACATAAATTTTCTTTGTCACTCTTTCCTCATTCATTCTTTCCACATGACCAAACCACCGAAGCATTCCTTTCTTAATCCTGGTCACAACATCATCTTGCAAACCACACTCTTCTCTTATTACACAATTTCTTACCCTGTCATTAAGATTCAGCCCTAACATACTCCTTAACGACCGCATTTCTACTGCGTTCATTCTACTCTCGTGCTTCTTCTGCCACACCCAACTTTCACTACCATATGTTAAAGTAGGGACCAACACAGCATTGTGAATTGCCATACGTGCCTTTTTCGACACATTTTGACTCTTCACAATAGAGTGCAGGGCCCCATTTACTCTATTTCCCGCATTCACTCGTCGTTCTATATCCTTATCATATCTCCCATCCCTGCTAAATACGCAGCGCAAATATACTAACTCGTCTACTTGCTCGATCAACTCCCCTTCTATTCTTATTTCACAAATCGTTTTACTTTCTTCTCTTTCAAAAACCATAACCTTCGTCTTACTTGCGTTCACTTTCATACCCCTTTCTTTTAATGATCTGTTCATTAATGTAACCATCATTTGCAACTCGGCCGCCGACGACGCAAGTATAACTTGATCATCGGCGTACAAAAGGCATTTGACGGTTAACTCACCCATTCTTAATCCGCATTCTTCAACTTTCAAATTTTGCAAACAACTGTCCATAAATAGGTTGAACAGCCACGGGGAAGCTACACAGCCCTGTCTGACACCTTTATGGATGTCAAACCAGTCCGAGTAGACCCCGTTGATCCTAACACAAGCACTAGAGTCCCTATAAAGGGACTCCAATGCCCGTATCAAGCCAGCGCTCAACCCAAATGAGTTCAGTGTTTGCCATAGCACATCTCTATTCACTCTGTCATAGGCCTTTTCCAAGTCCATGAACGCACAAAAAACCTTTTGGTTTTTTGGCCAAAAACTTCTCCGCGATCATGCGCATGGAAAAGACTTGATCTGTACATCCCATTCCCTTTCTAAATCCTGCTTGCACATCCCAAATTTTTCCATCAGTTTCTTTCATGACCCTTTCAATCAGTACCTTAGCATACAGTTTTCCCACAATGCTAAGAAGGCTGATGCCACGGTAGTTTTTACAGTCCTGCTGCGACCCTTTTCCCTTATATACTGGGACTATCACGGCTTTGCACCAGTCTACCGGTACCCGCTTCAGTTCCCAGCATAAATTAAACAAGGTGTGCAGCAGGCCTGCCACCACTTCCTCTCCAGCCCTTAGCATTTCGAGTGAAACTCTATCATATCCGGCAGCCTTACCTGCTTTCATGCTTTTCATTGCTTTCATTATTTCACCTACACTAATCTCGCTACCTCTTTCCTCTTCCTTCGGAATTTCTACTTCACTTAGTACACACGTTGTCTCCTCACTCATAAACACGCTTTCAAAATATTCCTTCCATCTCTTTAAACTCAAAACTTCATCATTCAGAATATAGCCATTCTCGTCTCTTATAGCATTCATCATAGGCTGTTTTGAATGTCCCCTGGCAGTTCTTACAAGTTTCCAGAACATTTTAATAGTCTCTAGCACAAACGTAAAATAGCCAGCCTTTCGGCGTTGTAAAGGATACATTTTGGAGAGTGCGCAGGAATTGCATTACTCAATTTTTTTCCCTCTTCTATCATCGGAACACCAGTCGTTAGCCTGGTCTTCACCCCATTGTGGTCGAAGTACTATGCATCCGAACCAAATGGTTTGCTTCGTCGTTTAAAACGATAATAGCAATGGAGTGGTGTAATTTTCTAGCATCTGTCTTTCCATCTGATTATAATGTGGTAATTTTTAAGGCAAGAGAGAGAGAGAGTGAGAGAGAGAGAGAGAGAGAGAGAGAGAGAATAGGCTTTTGTTAAACTCAGTCGGTGCGGCTTTATCATCTTCGGCTGCATCACTACTTACTCTAGGTGGGAGCTTATATTAGTGAAAAAGAGTATAGAGTGTAATATGTTTTCTTAACAGACATGAATCATTTGAAAAGGGGCGGTACCTATACTAACATTACTAACATGTGAATTATTTTTACAGCATTCGGAGGACGGGGGTGGGAGGCGCGGCGTGATTGACGTGAGCGCCGGCGCCGGTGACATGTGGATCAGCGCCGTCGAGAGTTCTATCCTCACATGGGAGGAGGTACTTTTCTTCTTATTTTATGTAATATTGCGACGGCTACGTGGCTGAACTGTGACATCATAGTGTTAACCGCTTCAGTGCCCCGAAATATGGCAATTTAAACCGACGACTCCGTGGCGCAGTGGCCTAGCAATGAGTGGCTGCGCTGGGGGTCGTGGGTTCGAATCCCGCACAGAACAAGTATTTGTATGGCCTACAAATAGTTGTTCCGGGTCTGGATGTTTGTCCTTGTGCAATTTATGTTTGTAAACTGCCCCTACGATGCAAGAGAACATCTTAGTGCAGGGGTAACGTTTAAAAAAAACCTTTCCATGTCCCATGAATCATATATAAACATTACAATTGTTTAACTATTGTGTCTTTTTCGCGGACAGGTCAAACCAGGTTGCTAAGCATCTGGCACTACGATCATATAAAAATATATATCACAAATGAAAAAATCATGTATATCAGTATGTAATCAGTGATGATAAGTAGGATTACATTTGTATAGATGATTAATAAAGTTATACCTATCAAGTTAAAAATAAATATTCGAACTCAGTACCGAGTACTGATGACGCTCGACAGTTCTCGAAAAAACAGAGATTTGTAACTTCACAATTTGCCTCGTCGGGTGTATAATGTACTCTGTTTCATACGCACTAGCAGTACATGAGTAAATCGTTTTATTTACTAGGGTAGTGACGTCACGAGCTTAACCCCTCAATCCCTACAAAAAGCCCATGCAGGCGCATGCGCCCGGCAAATCCCGAGCGGTCGTATGCGACCGCACCCACCCGCAGCACTTAAAACCATTAAGACTTATATTTAGAGACTACTTTTCTATGAAGAAGGTTCACTTTATTTATTTATTTATGCTTTCATGCACAAAGTAGTACATATGGCGGATTTAATGCCATAGGGCATTCTCTCCCAGTCAACCATTAGGCTAAACAGAGATAGACATTATGGAGGCGGTTGCAGCAATAATCAAATAGAGAGGATATATATATATATATATTCACTTTCTGTGTGGTTCGCTTGGAGTGGTTGGAAGAAAGAGTTCATCATAAAGAGTCCCTCTTTTTCCATAAAGTCGGCCAGCTGCTGACCTCTTGGGTTTCTATTATTAGTTTAATGTTTATAATTATTTGGCATCAAAAGTATGAATGTCGTCTAGAGAATTGCATTGTGAACTTCATGCTCTATTTTCCCACTTCCACTTCCACTCGTATGGCTGGGGGTTTGGTTCAAATTTATATGAGACAAACCCAGAAGTAAAAACTATTTAATAAAAAAGTTACTCAAGTCGATACACAATTGAAAAGAAATCGAGTAACATATATTTTATATGCAAAAAAAAAAGACTATACACTCGAATTGAGATACTTTTCCGTTTTTTGAAGTCAACTAAAACATGGGTCAAAAAGAACATTATTTTTAAGAGATAGGAGGGGTCTTACAGGCTGATGATGATGATGAGTGATTGCATTAGCAGAGACCCGTTCATCAGACCTTAACAATCCTTTAGTTTTTATGAACATGTTTGCGGGCGTAACTACCTGAACGAGGAAACGAAGATTTAACAAGGTAAATTAAAATATAATGATCCAAGGCCACGAGCTCCAAATTAAAACAACAATTATAAGATAACAGCTAGTTATTTTATTAACCGTAATGAATAAATTGAAATAATTTAAATAAATTAAACGTGCTGCGTGCTGCAGCGGTGTTATGGTGAATGGGTTTGCATGTTCGGGGAAGGACCACGATCCAACTTAAAATAGCAGAACAATGCTACCGTGTCTCATATATTGAGCAAAGTGAATCGAAAAACCATTTTTATTGGTAACGAGATACTCCATCTCAGTCCTCGGTGACAATGCATTTGCGTGTTGATAGAAGATTGATGTACATGTCTATGCACCATCCTTACTTTAAACACAGATAATTGCTCTGCCAAAAAGCTCTAGAACCGTAATTCCTAACTTTGAAACCAACAATCACAATCTATATAATTCAGGGTTAACCTGCATTATTGTAGCTAAGCCCGAGGGCTAAGCGCTCTCTAATTAAAGACTATACTATAACTTTACTTGTACTTTTTAATATGTATGTAGCAGCCAGATTAATCAAACCTAAACGGGAATAAATAATATATACTCCGCTGCTACCATAACGCGGAAGGCGAGAATAAATAAAAAAAACATTTTATTTCCTAATTATTCTTGGCTACTGAGATACTGCGGACTGTATATAGATAATTTGACGTTCTTATAAAGAAACAAGAAGCAGCCGCAAATATCATTCAGCGCCACACCGACTTCACACGCCGCTATCGTCACGTATCCGTCGACCAATGGTGAGCCGTTTCTTCAACGCCGCAGTTCGTTTCCTCTTGCTGTTCCGGAGCTGTATTCCACACCGCCGCCGCCCGCCGACTACGCGTGCGCACCGATCTGCATGTCTTATATAGCCCGGTCCAGCGACGTAGCTTCGTGAACAACAAACAAGTCTCACGCCGGGAAACGAAACGTAGATAATTGTATATTTTAAATAGTTTTCATTGGTCATAAAATAAGCAATATAATTGGCTAGGCAAAATATTAATTGTTACCATTGGCAAATCAATAGTGAGCCAGCCATATAAATATAGGCAAGGTTGATGCAAAATATATTCCATTCCATTCCGAATCCCATTCGACAGTACATTCATAAACTTAAACAGTAGTTTCATTTCTCCACCTTAGAGAAAACCACTCGGAGTCTGTTAATAGTGGACAGTTCTTCTCCACTAGTACAGTGGTGACCCCGTACGAACACCGAGGGGGGAAGATCCGGTACGAACACCAAGAAGGAACACCCTGCGACGTACCACTACTATTGCACGAACACCGCGAAGGAAACCCGTACGAACACCGAGAAGGAAGACTTCAGTTTATATAAAATCAGTGTAATCAAGCCGTCATTATGGAGCAGGAGGCAAACACATATACATCAAACCCGGTAAAGGAACCAGAAATCGCCGGTATATCTCTATCGTTAAGAATACCACCGTTTTGGAGAGACAAACCACGACTTTGGTTCGTCAGTTTTGAAGCCGCAACGAATGGTTTAAAGAAGAGCCAAGCGCAATTAGCACAGATGGTGATAGCCCAACTTGAGAAACAAGACATCGAACAAATTGCGGACCTGTTGTACAACCCACCAGCAGTCGACCAGTATAATTCACTGAAGGATCGTCTGATCTCCGCATACGAAGAATCCGACAGTCGACAGCTACAAAAACTTCTATCAGAAATAGAACTTGGAGACCAGAAACCCACACAACTCCTACGCAAAATGCGTACTTTGGCGCGAGATAAAGTTCCGGATTCAACACTACGGCTAATGTGGGTAAACCACCTACCACCACATATTCGATCGGTAATAGCAGTCAGCGAAACATTCAGCACGCAGACGAAGCTCGACGAACTGGCACTCCTGGCGGACAAGATGATCGAAAACAGCAGTAGCTCACACATATCGATCATCGAAGGCACTTCAACAAAGGCCAATGATACCCAGTTTCTTCTCGAAGAAATTCGGAAGCTATCATTCGAAGTCGCCGCGCTCAAAGCTTCCCAGCATCATACCTTTTACCAGCAACAGTACAACCAGCGCAATCAGCAACACCGAAGATCACCTTTTCGTCGCAACCGCTCTGCAAGTAGAAGTCGAATAAGCTCAACATCAAGATCCCCTTACTGCTACTATCATCGACGTTTCGGGGTCGAGGCAAGAAAATGCACAGCACCGTGTACATTCAAAAATGAAAATACGAATACGGAAAACTAACTAGTACGCTCGATGCGACGGGATCCAGCGTAACAGCAAAGTCCTACCGTCTTTTCGTCACCGATAAAAAAAGCAAGCTTACTTTCCTTATCGACACCGGAGCAAATATCTCAGTGTTACCGCCGAAGCAAGGACAGAAGTTGAAGCCACTAGATTTTCAACTCTATGCAGCAAACAATACGGTTATTCCTACATATGGAGAAAAAACAATGGAACTTGATTTTAATCTACGCCGACCATTCAAATGGAGATTTATCGTCGCTAAAGTCAGCAAACCAATCATCGGTGCTGATTTTCTTCAACATCACCAGTTGGTCGTCGACATCAAAAATAGAAGAATCATCGACGGGAAAACCAATCTTGCATCTCAGTCTTTTGTACAAGCAACCAATCTGCCCACAATAAGAAGCATAGATGTGCAACAACCGTATCACAAGATCCTCGAAGAATACCCTGGTATCACAAGAATAACTTCAATGAAATTAACACCGAAGAACGACGTTGAGCATTTCATCGACACCAATGGACCACCACTTCATTGTCGTGCACGTCCAATCGCACCACACCTATACGAGCAAGTTCGAAAGGAATTCGAAAACATGATTGAGCAAGGAATATGCCGTCCAAGCAAAAGCCCTTGGTCATCACCACTTCACATTGTACCGAAGAAGAACGGAGAATTACGAGTTTGTGGAGATTACAGAAGACTGAATTCTATTACCACTCCTGACCGCTACCCAATACCGCGAGTCAGGGATTTCACTCATCAACTATCAGACAAGACTATATTCTCCACCATCGATCTCAACCGAGCTTACCAACAAATAAGAGTCCGCGATGAAGACATAGAGAAGACAGCAATAATTACCCCAATGGGATTATTCGAATTCCCAAGAATGATCCCAGGATTAAAGAACGGAGGTCAAACTTTCCAAAGATTCATACACGAAGTACTTCATGGACTGGATTTCGTTTTCGCATTTATTGATGATCTCCTTGTTGCAAGCCCTGATAAAGAAACGCACGAAACCCATCTACGCACCGTGCTACAGCGATTAGAAGACAACGGAATCACAATCAACCCTTCGAAATGCATATTTGGACAGCAAGAAGTTCAATTTCTTGGTTTCACCGTCAGCAAGGAAGGAATAAAACCGCCTGCCGAAAAAGTCAGAGCAATCATCGATTATGCAAAACCTAAAACTATCGAAGAGCTAAGGCGTTTTCTT